CTACCTATCTATATATGCTATTGACATGTATTGGTGGGTTACCAGCATCATTCGCTGACCGGGCGTCGTCCCATTTTATCTATGTGCTTTTCAGGTTCCGAGTAGTGGCGAGCGCGATCTAGTAATGGATAGTATAGATCCCTCAGACTATGTAGTTTGTTTTGGGCCTGTGTGCCTTCTATGTTGGATTTTAGACTTGTGTATGGTTGACCTTGTCCCGTTAGACTGATGGATTGGATGTTGTTTTCACATGTGCGTTCACCATAGCGTGGACGTGGCATAACACTCTTAGTTTTCCAGCTTTTATATAGTTAAGTCTTCCGCTGTGTATGCTTATATTATGGTTAGATTATCTGCATGTTTAAGTTTAAAATAGCCTGGAAATCGGGGGTGTTACAACGGTGACCGCTTTGAATTACATTTCCGATCGAGCGGCGAGCTGAATCCTTTGCAGACGACTTAAATACGCGACGGGGTATTGTAAGGGGTAGAGTGGCCTTGCTGCCACGATCCTCTGAGATTCAGCCCTTTGTCGCTCCGATTCGTCCCTCCCACCCCATATCCAACCTGCATTACATCACTCCCTATCAAATCCAATTCAATCCACAGTATTACGCGAGAGGTTATAATTCCACGATTGGTTATGATGTCTAAGTGGTTACGCGCTCAATCAAGATACAAAGGCTTGATAAAATGGTTAAGTGTCCAAGTATTCACAAGTTTCAAGTTCCGTGTACAAGTGTTTAGTGCCCAAGGACTTACCACATTTCACTCAAACTTCGTTGGTGCCTACGTTGCGGACGGATGTGCCACGATGGTACCTAAGTGCGGACAGAGTTGCGTACGGAGTGGCTAACTGCGGACGGAGGTGGGTACGAGGTGCCTATGTTGCTGAAGGAGGTGCCTAGCAGGTGCCTAACTTGCGGACTGATGCGGCCCGACGGTGCCTAAGTTGCGTACTTATGCGGAACGATGGTGCCTAAGTTACGGACAGTTGCGGACTTATGCGGAACGATGGTGCCTAAGTTGCGGACAGATGCGGAACGATGGTGCCTATGTTGCGGACTGTTGCGTAACGATGGTGCCTAAGTTGCGGACAGTTGCGGAAAGATGGTGCCTAAGTTGTAGACTTATGCGGAATGATGGTGCTTAAGTTGCGGACAGTTGCGGAAAGATGGTGCCTAAGTTGCGGACTTATGCGGAACGATGGTGCCTAAGCTGCGGCCAGTTGCGGAACGATGGTGCCTAAGTTGCGGGTAGTTGCGGAATGATGGTACCTAATTTGCGGACTTATGCGGAACGATGGTGCCTATGTTGCGGACTTATGCGGAACGATGGTGCCTAAGTTGCGGACTTATGCTGAACGATGGTGCCCAAATTGCGGAATTATGCTGAACGATGGTGCCTCAGTTGTGGACTTATGCGGAACGATGGTGCCTAAGTTGCAGACTTATGCGGAACGATGGTGCCAAAGTTGCGGAAGAATGACGATGGCTGTATGTATTTACTATAATTACTTACGAGTAGAAATGTATGATGTCGAAGCAAATGGATGCTTAAACATGATTTTAGGGTAAAGATTAGCGTGGATTAATGAATATTACCTCTCATTCTCTTTATTTTATTTCTCGTATAGCAATTATCTCGTATTGTATATATGGGATATGCTGCGATTTAAAAAAAATATATATATATTGGTCGCAGGAGAAGCTGGTGACCAAACTGGTCGCCTTTCCTAGCAAAGGAGAAACCAGCGACCAAAACTGGTCGCCTTCTCCGATGAAGGAGGTGATAAATTTTTTATTTTATTTTCTAAATCACATACACGCGACTTACATGTATACGAGATATGCAAGTTCCACTTGTGTGTTTGTTTGATTGCGAAGAAAATAAAAACAAAACAAAATTATCTGATAACATTTGTTAAATGATCTTCTTTTTTTTTTTTAATTTTTGTCTTGTTTTTAAAAATGTCCTATTTTTGTCAACTTTTTATGTTTTGTTCTCATTAGTCTTTGGCCCTAATAGTGTTCCCACATGACACACCTTTCAATTGCACTCTAATGGCTTTATGGAGATATTTTGTGGTTTTTAAAGAGTTTTTGTAAGTGTGATTAAGAAAGAGAATATAGGAGAGAAAAGAAAAAAAAAAGAGAAAAAGATAATAACAAAATTGATTTAAAAAAAAAAAAAAAAAAAAAAAAAAGGATTGTCAGCGTGTCTGAAGTGCGTGCACGTTCCTGTTGGGTGCACTTGTGACAGGCCACGCGAGGCTGTCATGAGTGATCCATTTCTGTTATGGTCCCATATTTGTGTCAATAACTCCATCTTTGGAGATAAACCTCAACTCTATCTCTCTTACCTCTCTTTACGCCATATTGATTTTTTTTTCTTAAAAATTGTGCATTATATATCCGCAGTGTGCAGATGTGGATGGCCTTACACACTCCATGTGTAGATCTTGATCTCAGTAATTAGGGAACCAATTAATCAACCCGGCCCCACTTGGCCACTTGTACACCTCACCCTACCACCCTTAGACAATTAAGTTAACCCCCACTGTACAGATCTCTTCATTTGACCCAATAGGGACTTGAACAGCTCACCCACAACTTTGAGGCAAGGGGAACTATATATATAATAAGCAATAGGCACCCTTGAAGCTCTCTTCTTAGTTCTTACCACCATTATAATAAGCAATGGGCACCCTTGGAGCAGTACGTGACTATAGAAAATATATATAGAGTAAATACGCAAAATGGTCCATCGACTATAGTTAAATTCACAAATTGGTCCTTGACTTATGATTTTAACCAATTAAGTCCTTGACTTTGCAATTTCAACTCAATTTAGTCTTCTTTTAGTGTCACCGTTTAGTTGCCGTGAAACCCAAGGACAGAGTTGTAATTTCACATGATTCTTGCCCTTCTCCTTCCGCAAAGCTCCCCTGTTTCGCAATGCCGGCAAGTGCAGTTTCGATTGGGGGAAAGCGGCGTCTGTGATCCCTCTCTCGTTCACATCGCGATCAATCTTGATGCGGACTACCTCCGCGGCTCAATCGTCGCCGTTCATTCGATACTGCTGCATTCTAGGTGTCCCAAGACTGTGTTCTTTCCATTCAGCTATTGTAGGCACCGGGATGGGGCTTGCATTCACATTCTGACCAAATAAATTTGAGCCATGAAATAAATGAGCAAAAGGTCTAGAGTCCATACCTGGATTAGTCATAGATGGGTGCTGCCCATCTCTTGTGCGATTACCAAATGGAGGCTTATTATTTGGCACAAATGAGGTGCCAGCCGAATGGGAAACATCACCTGGCGGTGCCCCCATGGTCAGAATTAACCACCCCCACCACCAATATTCCCATTCGAAATATGCTTATTCGGCCCTTTTTTCAAATTAACATCATTAACAAGTTAACAACATTTTGAGCATTGACACTTGGCCTACACGTGGAGCATTAGGAGCAGATGCATGCAAAGGATCAGTAGGCATAACACTTTGCCCATCCAAATTAGAAATATTAGAAAAAGGCAAAGCACTATGTGTTAGACTAAAGTATCACATGCATCATATAATATGTGATAATAGGATCGACTAACCTCCAGCCATAGTTCTTGCGGTTGAGCGATCCGGACTGCTGCAGAGATAACGAGTATTTTGTCTCTCACTTTACTCAGCTCTCTCTAGATGGTGTATGAGGTATGTAATGTGAACAGTGAGAGGACTAGTGACCTTATATAACCACTGGCCATCATTGTGATTTATTGTCTTTAGGTCTCCTAAACCCTAACTAGACTCCTAATCATAATGGCAGTCTAGCTATTAAGTTATTAGTGTTGCACCACATATCAAATACTGAATATTATCATAACTTATCCTAATGTTATAATAATAGTAACGGATAAACGTTACATTCTCCCACTTGGTGCAAGCACTACCACTCAATAACAGAAAAACACCAACCATAATGATATGTTCTCATTAGCACGAGTAGTATCCATTATGATCAAATGCAAACTGCCACTGAGCACTTAATTAGGAAACAAAACCCAACGAAATAAACCCTATGTTTATTCCAAGTCCCTGAAGTACATTTTCTCATCAATATAAAGTAAATGAAGGTGTACACACTTAATTGAGAAAATGTCTGAATGCCAAAGAATTTTATTAAAACTGAATGTATATATACAAATTACAAATTGGGCGAAAGTCCCATTTTCTGAATCAGATCCTTGAACTTAAATAGTGGCATGCCTTTAGTCAAGAGATCTTCTAACATCAACTCAGTATGAATGTGTTCAATAAATACAACTTTATTTTTGACATGCTCCCTAATTGCTAAGAACTTGATGTCGGTGTGCTTTGTTCGACTTCCACTTTTGTCGTTCTTAGCTAGGAAGACTGCAGCTGAGTTGTCACAGTAGACTTTCAATGGCTTAGATATAGAATCCATAATTCTAAGCCCAGATATAAAATTCTTTAGCCAAACACCCTGTGAAGTAGCCTCGAAACAAGAAACGAACTCGGCTTCCATGGTAGAAGTAGCTATTAAGGACTGTTTAACACTTCTCCATGAGATAGCCCCACCGGCCATAATGAAGACGCACCCAAAAGTTGATTTTCGAGAATCAACACAACCAGCGAAGTCCGCGTCTGAATAACCGACAAGATCTAAATTGTCGGTCTTCCTAAACCCAAGCTTGTAACCTTTGGTTCCTTTGAGATACCTTAGAACCTTCTTTACAGCTCCCCAATGGTCTAACCCCGGATTGTGTTGGTAACGCCCTAGCATTCCAACCGCAAAAGCAATATCCGGCCTCGTACAGACTTGAATATATCCAAGACATCCAACTGCTGCAGCATAAGGGATGTTCTCCATGGATTCCTTCTCCAAATCATTTTTCGGACATTGGTCCAAACTGAATCTATCCCCCTTAGATATGGGAGCAGCGTTTGGTGAACAATTTTGCATATGAAATCTCTCTAAAACTTTGTTTATATAGGTTTCTTGAGATAAACCCAGTATACCCCGGGACCTATCTCTCTGAATTTTAATGCCAATAACATTAGAGGCATCACCCATATCCTTCATATCAAAGTTCTTAGAAAGAAATTGTTTCACATCACGAAGCATCCCCTTATCATTGGTGCCAAGTAAGATGTCCTCCACATATAAAACAAGAAAGCAAATTTTACTCTCACTCACCTTCTGGTATATACAGTTATCTGAGGGATTTTCAACAAAACCAAATGAAGAAATTACCCCATCGAATTTGATATACCATTGACGGGAGGCTTGTTTTAAACCGTATATGGATTTCTTAAGCTTACATACTAAATGCTCACCACCCCTAGAAGAGAAACCTTCAGGTTGTTTCATATAAACCTCCTCTTCTAGATCACCATTTAGGAAAGCGGTTTTCACATCCATTTGTTGCAACTCAAGATTAAAATGTGCAACTAATGTCAGAATGATCCGAAGTGAATCTTTCTTTGATACAGGAGAAAAGGTCTCCTTGTAATCGATTCCTTCTTTTTGAGTAAATCCCTTGGCAACAAGCCAGGCCTTGTATCTCTCAATGTTTCCTAATGAGTTTCTTTTAGTCTTAAAAACCCATTTACAGCCAATGGCCTTGGCCCCATTAGGCAACTCAACAAGATCCCAAACTCCATTGTCCTTCATGGAATTCATTTCATCTTTCATGGCTTCCAACCATAAGTCAGACTGTCCACAATTTGTGGCTTGAGAGAATGTTTCAGGATCATTTTCAGCCCCTATGTCAGATTCTTGTAGATACGAAACATAATAACTAGGAACTGCTGATCGCTTTATCCGAGTAGACCGTCTTAAGGTTGGACCCTCGTCACCTTGCATGCACATTATTTAGAGACACTAGTATTATTTTTAGCATTCTGGACATTATTTGAAACATGGCTAATGCTACTACCATTAGGGACCACCAACATTAGCAGAAATACCTCGATTGCAAGCTCTGACCCACTCAAAGCAGGTGAAGACCCAGCCACATTCACCAGACCACCGCCAACTGACAACGGTTGAGACTCCCCAGCAAGACCACGAACATCGCCCTCACTCACAGCCACCAAAGGCCTCGACTCTCCACTATGGATAGCCTCAACAGTGGCCAGAACAAGAGAGACATTGGGGGTATGGCAAGCTGGGTTCACAACAGTTGGATCAACGTCTTGAGCCACTCTGAGACCACCGCCACCTGTCCCCCCCTTTGCTCACCTCCTCTGCTCGTCGTGCGGTGACCGATTGGGCATTAACTCCCGGAAATTTTGGATGTCCCCGATCAACAATCGCAGTAGCGACGAGTGGTATCCACACATCTCTAACCCCATACAAACCTTCAGAACCTCCATGCATCGGCTGGGACAGCGGCAACGACACCATTGACGATGGGGCGATCAGATTCTCGGAGGGACTGCGTGAAGACCTCCGATCAACAATTCGATCATTGATGAGCAACCTCGAAGCCTTCCCAACACCAGCCAAACCCTCGAAGCCTTCCCAACCCACCTGGGAGTGATGGTCATAGATCTAGGGAAATGGAGGCCGTCTGGGTTTACTTAATTAGCGTATGTGGTGAAGTGCAAAGGCGGGGAGGATATGAAATTACTACTGGAGCTATTTGAGATATTACAAAAAATACTGGAGCTACCAGTGGATCCTCTCACGAACTATGGGAGGATGAGGACATGGACGCAGAAGAAGGAGGTGCATGCGAGCAAAGCGTGGCCAATAATAATGATGTGAAACGCACAAGAGGTACTCTACTTGCGCAATCTAAAATTTCATAAGCATGCAACATTTATATTTTATAGCGTGAAACCGGCCATGAGAGTTGATATTTTTATATTATAGCTAGCTAGGGCGTATCATTTACATTATATACCTAGACAAATATATATTTATTATTAGAAATACATATAAATAATATATGTGTGTGAGATAAATATATATTTATTATTAGAAATACATATAAATAATATATGTGTGTGAGATAAAAAATAATAATTAAATCTTCCTAATATAATAAGTATATATAAAAACTAAGTTAATAATTAGTCATTTTAGTATGTACTCCGATCCGTATAATATAAATGATGTGGTTTGTGTTATTTATTTATTAAATATTAAACCATAGTAAATAAAAATATAAATGTAATAGTTCTAGTATTGTGTAGTTGTGTTTAGTTACTTGATCTATTTACCCCTCAATAATATAATACCGGGAAAAGTGTCAAATTAGCCCCCTAAGTGGATCGGATAGTGCAATTGGGTCCCCTAACTAAAAAAAGCTTCATTCAGATCTCTTAAACCTATAAAAATGTTCAATTAAGTCCAAAGTGACTTGTTTAACAGGTTAGGTCTTCACCTGGTTGACACGTGTCTTTTTAAAATGTTTTTTTATTTTTTTTTATAAAATTTATTTATTAAAATATATATCATATATATAAATAAATTTAAAAAAAAAAAAAAACAAAAACAAAACAAAACAAAAAAATGCCTGGAAGTTCTAGGGAGGGGGAGCACCGGAGTCGATATTTACAGCCCAGAGTATGCCGGTGTTTACAGACAAGTGTGATAGTTACAGCTTTGGGTTGATTCTAACTGGTCTGGTGACCGGAAAGCTTCTCACCAATGTGTTTTTTCAACACACAGAAGAGGTGTATCCGACGATATGGTAAGAAATATGGTGAGCTCTGGAGACCCAAAACGAGCCATTGACCTTAAGTTGCTTGGAAATGGGTACGAGGAGCAGATGATTTTGGTTCTCAAGATTGCTTGCTTTTGAACTGCTGATAATCCAGAAGAGCGGCCTAACAGTAAGCAAGTTAGGTGTTTGTTAAGTGAGATCTAGCATTGAGCGGACAAAGTAAGCAGCCAACGGATCGAAGGTTTGATGAAATAAAGAATGTATTTAATTAGTGTATTGTGTTATGTTTGTTGGAAGTGTGTTGATTTCTTCAATTCTCAGTTCGGTGAGTGTTGTTAATGAAATTCTGGAGTTTTCTGCTTTATAAACTTCCCCACATCCACCTTTTCCAATCATTTCTATTGATGCCAGTCCAATCCAAAGCTAAAAGTGTATACTACTCCTGTATAGCAGAGTGCATACCACCTAAGTCCAATGGTCATCAATTCATCATAAGATAAGCAAAAGGAAAAGTGAAAGACCGGCAGCTTCCCCTATTCGCGGCTTCACGCAAAATCCGACGGGAGTCCAAGACACGGAGACCTCTAGACAGCAGAACACCTGCGGCCGGCGCCTTTGTGGTGCTATTTTTTTTTTTTTTTTAATATAATATATATTTTAATAAATAAAAAAACAAAAAACAAAAAAACCTGTTAAACAAGTCACTTTGGACTTAATTAAACACTTTTACAGGTTCAGGGGACTTGAATAAAGTTTTTTTTAATTAGGGGACCCAATTGCACTATCCAACCCACTAGAAGGCCAATTTGACACTTTTCCCTATAATACCCTTCACCGTACTATACCTTTAAATTAATTGTAAGCAATATATAGTCAAAACCAAAATGGAATTGAATGCAATAGAATAAAAATGTAATTATAAAATAAAGTGGGGCTTATCGATCTCCTAGCTACAAGCTAGCTAGCTAGGTTACAACTTAAAAAAAAAAAAAAAAAAAAAAAAAAAAATGAAGTGTCTGTGTATATATATATATATATATACTGCAAATTAAATTGAAGCTAGCTACATTGTGTTCTCAACTCTCAGATGGCTTCCAATAGGGAATCTGCTAGGCGTTCAAGAAGAAGAAAGCAAGAGCAGTTGGCAGAACTGGAAAACCAGGTATATATTAATTAATTAATATAAATAGACAGATTTTTAGTTTCCATCATTATTGCTTTTTTTATATATTTTTTTTCCTGGCAGGTTGATCAACTACGAGGAGAAAATGCATCTTTGTTCAAGCAGCTTGCAGGTGCTGCTCAGCAATATAAAGACTCTTCAACAAATAATCGAGTGCTTAAATCAGATGTGGAAGCATTGTGAGCCAAGGTAATTAACTAATTAATAGTTTACACACATATATAGGGTCCCGTTCAGATGCGAACCTGCACAACAAAGAATGAAATGCATACTACATAAGTGCACAACAACAACTCCAGCTAGCTCCGCAACTATGTACTACCGAATGCACCACACCTACTACATGATGCACCAAAACTAGTACATTAATGCACTGAAATTAATTATTACACGAATGCACTGTGTTGCTACATACATTCATGCATGTAGTACCTACGGTGCTATACATTCATGTACGTAGAACTTATGGTGCATTTCTCCATAAGTTTACAAGTTCACATGAGAAGGCTGGTTCTTATTTAAAAGCACCTTAAGCACAAACCTCAGGTACTTAAGTTCTAACAACTACTCACATTAAGCACACAACCCACACACTTTAAGCACAAACCACATGCACCTTAAGTACAAACCACACGCACATTAAGCGCAAAACTCACGCACATTAAGCCCAAACCCAAGCACCTTAAATTTACCTAGATGCAAAAATTACCAAATTGCCACCACATTTAAAAAAAAAAAAAAAATTGGTAATCTTGGACGTTGATTTAAGTAAGATCAATGGCTCATATTTAACCGCACCTAGAGTTGCCAACCACACCAGAACCTTATTATATATATAAGAGATGGTGTGAATATAAAGAGTTTCAAATAGTATAATATAATATCAACTAATTACAATTTATTTATGTAATAATGATGTATCGTGTGGTTTAATTTGTATATGTAAATGTAATGTAATTAGGTGAAGCTAGCAGAAGATATGGTTGGTCGAGGTTCAGTGAATTCTAGTTTGAGCCATCTTATTCAAAACTATCTCACCGCTCCGGCAACTACACTAGGCATTAATAATGTATGTCCAAAGATGCACTTAAATCGTCCATTACGATGCGTATTAGCTTCCTCACGCTGTGGATGTTCAAGAAACTTTCTCAGAGACGGAGACGATATGTTTTTTTTTTTAAATTTTAAATAATAATTTTTAAAATTTATTTTAAATTAGGGTTGACCTGCTAGAGATCTAAAAAACCTACAAATTAGACTAATTGTACGAAATTGGTTAGTTTTGGGATCCAATTGTAGTTTTGTAGGTTAAGTGACCTAATTGCATTATTGTGTGCAGTTGGATAGTCTATTTGACCTTTATTCCAAATTTTATTATAACAAGTCAACAAATCAACAAAAAATTATATTTAAAAAAAAAAAACTCAAATTACCTTTTTATGCATAAATTTTATTAACATTAATAGTTTTTAATAATATATATATAACATAATTATACTATTTCAATATGTAGTCTGTGCATCACACGGATAAAATACTAGTTCAAAATATCAGTCAAATTGTATTTTATATATATATATATATATATATATATATATATATATATATATATATATATATATAACATATTATTACCGATACATATATAAAATATTATTATTTGCTGATAAAAATTGTGTACTAATCTAAGCCCGCAATACTTGCAATTAGGGTGGGTAGGATGCAAATTATATCGTGCATCACGGTGCTTGATTGATCATGCATCGCGCATCAAAACAACGTCGTTTTGTTTAATGAAAAGAAACGGCATCCGTTTCCTGCCGTTTCGTACTTCCGCAAAAAGTAACTCTGTTATTCAGTTTCATTTTGTATACACTGCAATGTCAGTTCAACACAACTACAGTTTCACTTCGATATAACTACAGTTTCATTCGATATTTATAAACTCAAATATGTGAAAATGTTATTTAACTTTATTTTATATATATATATATATATATATATATATATATATATATATATATATATATATATATATATATATATATATATATATATATATATATATATATATATATACTATAGTTTTATTAAAACAAAACTACATAATCATTTTGATATAATTACAGCTTCATTGTACAATATACACTCAAACATGTGAAATGTTATTCAGTTTCACTTTATATACATTGCAGTTTCACTTCACTACAACTACAGTATCATTTTGATGTAACTGTAGTTTCATTTGTCGTGAGGCAGTGTCGGTTTAGATATACTATAGTGTTAGTTGGTATTTAATACACCAAATATGCCGACTCTATTAACGGTAACGGCGGGCCGACAGATGTCTTTCTTTTACATACTGTAGAAAACGAACTTCTAGCAAATTTAGATTCAACACAAATTTCACATTGTGTGCATGCTTCATTTGACAATTTTGGCAGTAAATTCATGCTCTTTAGTCTGTTTAAGCATTTAGTGCCGTTTCTTTACTTAAAGAAACGACGCTGTTTTTTTACTGCGGTGTATGTGCACTGCGGTCTACAATATAACGACTACTCTCCCTCAGGCCTCACCTCTCTGTCAGCCCGTCGGCTACTCACTGCTCCACCGGCGTCCGGCGTCCGGCCACCACGAGGTCCACCGTCCAGTCGTCCACGAGTCTTCTCCGTCTTCTCCAGCTCTGCGTCAGTCCGTTGTCTGCTCTGTAATCCACCGGCGGCCAGTCTTCTACTCTTCTCTAGTTCGTCTTCGTCTGCTCCAGTCCACCAGCTGACGACTCCACCAGACTACGAGGTCTGTTTTTATTTATTTATATTTATTTATATTTATTTATATTTCCTAGAGTATTAATATTGCCTTGTTAACAAGTTTTGTTGTGTGAATTTTTTTTCTTTCTTGCTAATAATAAAATTGTATTTCTTAAGTTATCACTTTCCAGTTTCCAGTGTGTATGTTTCTATGTTCTGTTTTTACTTTTTAGTGTGTATGCAGTATGTTTAAATGTTTTATATGTTTGATGTTTGAAGTATTTAATTGGAATTTTTTTATTATAGATATTATTTTTACTTTTATAGGATTTAAAATTTTAGCTGTAAAAAGTTAGGTCCCACCCGATTAACCCGACAAAACTTTGGTTGTCGACTTGTAGAGTTGGAATTTACCCATCCTCCCCCAGTCTCGCTGCGCATCAACGCCGGAATCTGCAAAGCTAAGAGTATGAGACGCAGGCACATAGTGATACAAGCCTGCAACCTCACAATCTTTCTCTGGTAATCTACCCTGCTGTGACGACAAATGTTTATCAGTTCACGTTTCATTTTTGTAATTGTGTGTTTTCTTTGTTTTGTAAGTTGCAATTTCGAGACAATCTTTCTCCTGGAATAAGCAACAACCAAATGGGGAAATTGAATAGTATATTCTAATTAATCATTACATGAGAAACTGGCAGAAACCAATTTTTTAACAGGCAAGACAGAATGATATTTGAATATTAATCTTGTCAACTTTGTAGAGTCTCTGCTCTTGAAAGTTGAAACCAGCTAATTTTACTCAAGTGCTGCTGCTGTTAATTTGTTGTTACTTTGTCATTCAAATGTTAGGGAGTACGGAAAAATTATTACGGAATGATATTTGAATACTCATATGGGATAATGTTATTGTGTTAACTAGTAAAGTATTCTACCCGTGCGCGATGCACGGATTAAATATTTGAAATAGTATAATTATGTTATATTATTAAAAATTATTAATGTTAATAAATTTTATATATGAAAAGTCAATATGAGATTTATTTTTTTTAATACTCCCTACATCTTTGTTGACTTGTTATAATAAAAATATGACCATAAAGATTTACAACTAAAATAAAAATTGATATTTAAGGCGCGAAATGACATTTAAAATGAATAAAATGCTCATTAAAAACTCCCTACATCTTTGTTGACTTGTGCAACACACTAACACCCCGAAATTTTTAAACATTTAAAACTTATATAATAAAGGTGAATTCTCATTAAATCCAAAAATCAACATAAGAGTGCGGGGTGCTATGCCACATCTGAGCTGGAGAACTCAGATGCACAGGCTAACTAACTAAAATCCTCAATACAAATGTCAATACATAATCATGGCACGCAGGCCGAAGGGAAACTAACTAATCTATGTTTCGGGTCTCTAGCGCGCTCCGGGTCTATTCATCGGTGCCTGAAAGCCAAATATATCTGTTCAGCGAATGATGCTGGTAACCCACTCCAACGCGTTGAAATACAATATATATATATATATATATATATATATATATATATATATATATATATATATATATATATATATATATATATATATATATATATATATATATATATATGAAAACCATTTTGAAGCAGGAAGATATATACTTAAGAGACTCTAGCTTTAAAACCGGGAATAGACTCAGCAAATAGGGGAAAGCACAATAATCAATGATAACAGTTAAGTAGAAACAACCATCATAAAGAATACGCAACTAAGGTCACAGATCACTTTCAAATCAACCATATCATCATCCAATCATCATTTGTGTCACACAATCATACTTTGGTGGCACCACGGGACCAATCGCATGCCCTGAACATGAGGGTTAGTGCATATAGCACTAACACGGCCCCGTAGCACCCTACCTCATACCGCAGCATGAAGGGAGTTGATCGCAACCAACCCTATAGACCGCTGACGAACTCAGCGGTGGATCACAGCCCTACACACCTGACGCGCTCAGTTGGTGGACCGTGATCCACTTTACAAGGGGGGACTTACGATCCTACACACCATTGACGGGGACAGTCGGTGGACCGTAGCGGATCAGGCCCTACACACCGCTGAGGGACTCAGTCAGTGGGCGATGATCCTCGGAGACTACGACCCTACACACCGCTGGCCCATCACTCGGTGGATCGCAGCCAGCCGTAGCCCTACACACCGCCTGATTACTCAGGTCGGTGGACTACAGCCTTCCTCGGGCTTATTGGCCCTACACACCGCCTGGCGCGTCCAGGTCGGTGGGTCATAGCACCCGAGGCCCATGTGGACCGCAGCCCAAGAAGTGAATCACTGACCGCAGCCAGGAGAATGAACCGCAGCTCATAAGTAACCAAACAGTGGACCGCAGCCCTATATAATATTTATATACCTGACCGATCGCAACCGGCCTGGTTAACAGTTGGGATGGTTCTCAACCTATCCAACTGCCCGTATAGCCAATTTGATCGTAACCAAATTGGGGAATCATGCATCACATACCACATAATAGCACATAATAGCACTTTGGGAGGGGGAGACACATAAATAAGCTTACGTGTGATCATTCACATACTAAGAATAGTCCTAAGGGGTTCATACAACTTCCACCTAGGCCGACGGGTTACCGATTCAACTAGCATGCAATTCCTAGACTCTTTTATCCTACGAATGGTACCCGAAACATCAAACTAGACTCAAGCACGATAAACGGGGTCCGTTGGGACACCACGGGGAATGGGGAACATCAAACGGGGAAGTCAAAGACCCGGGGTGGGTGACAAACTAGCGGGTAGCCGGTGGGTGGAAGGCCACCCGCCGGCGACAACTTCCAGGCAGCGGGTGCCCGGAGGGCAGACGACTGCCCGCCGGCTGCCCACTGCCTGGCGGTCTCACTTTGGGCAGCGGGTAGGTGGCGGGTACCCCTACCCCCACTGACTCTTTTATCAAATACGCGTCCCGAGATCCTTCGTGGAACCCGAAACCATGCTTAGACACTTTTAAACGCAATTAACGACACCACATAGGTATTTAATGGATCGAAAGCAAGAATCATATTGAACACATCCTAACATGACTTCTAGACACGAACAACACTCGAACATGTAAAATTCCCACCCAAATATAAATCAAGAACATCACAATATCAATTCCCAATCCAACATAGGGCTCTAATCCCACCCAAATCATCAACATCATATTTTATTTTCATTATCAAGAACCATCAAGATTTATCAAGAATTATCACATAAATATCAAGAACCTCTTTTTAACATCAAGATCATCAAGATCACTCATAAAATCATCACAT